GTTGATGGAAGACAAGTTTCTATCAGCAAGAACGAAAAGAAAGAAGTTCAGTCCCAGGATCACAAATCTCAGTACAGGTTTTACAGGTAATTTATTTTTACATATATATTTTTTTATTTATAAATTCTATAGATTAGAATTTCACTTCAGTTTTTAAGGTCTTCTGATGATGTCCTTGTTCTGGAAACTCCATACAGCAGAATTACCTATGATGGTAAGGACATTGAAATTTTACACACTGACTCCACCATGGATGCTAATCACTGTGGACTTTGCGGAAATAGAGATGGAGATAGACGTGGAGATATTGCAAATGCTCAGCAACTTCAGGTTTCAAACCCCAAGGCTGCAGCACTCTCATTCAGAGTTAATGATCAGTGCTCTGAACTAACTCAACAACAACAGAAGATTAAAGCCCAAGCAGCCAACAGTATCAACAAGCAGGTTGAGAAGAGCCCTGTTTCCAACATCTTGAGAGGCAACCTTGAGAGGTGCTCCCAGATGAAGCATTTGATTATCAGGCAATCTGACAAGGTTTGTTTCTCTCAACTTCCCATTGTTGAATGTGGAAGTGGATGTTCTCCAAGATCAACTGTAGAGAAGCAGATTGCATTCTCTTGTCTTCCTGCTGACCGTAGAGTCACTAGACATTATGAGGAGAGAGCCAGACAAGGAGAAGTTCTTCCTGAGCTTAGAAACATGGAGAAAACCTTCTCTTCCAAGATTGAAATTCCAACTGGATGTGCCCACCCTGGACTTTAAACCCTAATATATGATTTTAAATCTTTATTATTAGAAACTTTAAATTTTGGTTTAATAAATAATATTCGTTCAAAATTAGTTACTTTAAAGTTTTTTATGAAAAACGTATTTCAGCATGAAATCTCAAGCCAGCATTTTAGAATAATGGCCAATTATAATAATTAATTTTTCTGTCTGATTGTGTCAGATGGCTTAATTAAGGTAACAGTAGGTCTGTTCTGTAATTCTCAGTTTTGAACTATTAAGTGAAGGCAGAACTTTGTTGTGGTAAACCTCAGAATTGATCTCCATCCATTTTCTGGTCCTGTGAAATTGAAGTTTAAATGTTGTCTTCTATGTTTATAAACCATTAACAAAATTTTTTACTGTTAACGTTGTTAATATTGTATATACCATTAAGGGCTGTGCTGTTAATGATTTTTTTATCTGTTAACAAATTTATTTTGCTGTTAACGCCATTAATATTGTAATATATCATTATAGCAACTGTGCTCCTAACAATTTTTTAACCTTGAATGCCATTAATTTTGTAATAACGGTGCCATTAAGGGCTAGAGCTATTAACAATTTTTAGAATTTTTCTGTTAACGCGGTTAATAAAATTGAGATTGTTATCTAATGGTAATTAATAAAACGGAAAATGACCTTAACAGAATGAACGTTCTGATCTTTTCTTTATTAATTAATAGTTAACTGAAATTTTTATTTTTTAATGGTTGGATCTAACTGTTAACAAAACGGGTAGAACAAGTTGGAACATGCCCAGCCCTACTTTTTAGCGCCACTTTTAATCATTGGATTTAAAAACTTCAATGCTTTTTATGACAACATGAACCTGATTTTACAAATATAGTGAAGACTTTTGTGCAAATTTTTTAATGTTAATTTCGTACATTTTTAGTTATCTGTATTTTACACTTTTGATTTTTTTGAAATTGCCTGGTCAAGGGTTTCCAAAATAGGATTATCTGTCATATGTGGTTTGATTTTTGTTGTGCATATTTTTTTATAACTGGATTTTGCAATAAAGTTTAGATTTTTGAAAATTTGCTTTTGTTGCACTAAATTTTTTGGGGAAAGATTCATTTGCTTTTGCAGTTTTCCGTTTTGCTCAATTTTTCAGATAAAATTATTATTAAAAGGTTAAATAAAGGTGTAAACTGTATCAATTAGTTTTTCATGAGATCGCACTTTTTTGCATAGCTTAAAAAGGATCTGATTACTATCCTATCCCAGCTTCACAAAAATATAGATTGCTCGGCCCAGAAATTATCTAAGCTTATCCTTTGAATCCTAAATTTAAAACATAGAGTTTAAAGCATATTTTCGGCCGTTAGGAACTTTTTATTATAAAATCGACATTTTTTACTTTTTCAACAACCTCTTTTCTACAAAAATTTTGTCTTGGACACTCCAAAGTAACCCCCCCCGCCCCCCCCTGGTAATTGGAAAAAAATAAATGAGAACAGAATGACCTAGCTGAAGGTCCTCGTTCTATAATGGAACGGAACAATTATAAACAAGTTGGAAGGTGCCCAGCCCTAGTCCCAACTGCTGCAATCTCCTTCTCTAACCCTATCTCTGCTGGGGTACTTGAAAACCAGGATATGCGGGGGGGGCAATTTGACCCCCCCCCCTCTAAATCCCATGTTTGATGTCTAAATATGACAAATGATACATCATTGGAAAGCTCTTTTGGTATACTTTTAGAATCTGCAAAAAAATTTGCAAATTTGCAAAAATTGAATTTTTATCGCAAAATTTAGTTGTATAGTAAAAATGTTTGCAAACAAAATTTGTCCAAAAAATGAAAAATTATACATTTTTGAAAACCCCTTGACCATGCCATTTTAAATATAAACTGATTTTTAATCAAGAAAAACTAAAAATGTGCAAATTTCCTTTGACAGGTTGTTTACAAAAAAATGCATTTTTTTTCGCAAAACTTGTGCAACTCGTTTCCTTATGTCAAAGGCTTTCCAAAAAGCTAAATTTTATCAAAATCTGAAAAGTGGAAGTGGGTCAAAACAAAGATTTAGTTTGTTACAGGAAAAAGCAGTCATTCAGGCAGTGTGCCTGAGGACTCAGGCAGTTAGTATTAAAGCCCGGTTTTAGGCCTAAAGGTTTAATACACACATAAGGTTTTGAAAATTTTCAATTATTTTTGCATATTTGAATTTGGTGTACAAGTTGTCATATTTTAAACAATTTTAGTATTTGCACATTTTTGGCTTAATATCTAGATTTTAAAAATTTGCATATTTTTGCAGATTTACACAAAGATATACATACATTTATTAATGGTGTAGTTTAAATTTGTTTAGATATTTTGAATATATAGTTTTACAAAAGAAAAAATATGCCAAAATTAGGCAATAAATAGGCGACATTGATCATATTCATAACTCATTACATATTTATCATTAGAGTGTTTACGTTACTATTGAATCCTTCAACATAAGATTTATTCATTCATTATTCATACTAAGATCAGATAGATTTACAAAACAATCTTTTGCAATAGAAAATAAATTTCTGCCAAATGCTGTGTTCTTCACAAGATTTAAAAAGGTAAAACATACCATGAATTAGTGCCTTTATTAGAAAAAGGGGAGGTCAACCCCCTTCCTGCAGTCTGTTTTGGCTAGAATCTGTAACATATTCTGTAACAAAATCTGTAATATAATCTGTAGATCTACGGAGAAGAATTACAATGTTTTGTATCTGTAGTATGCATGTAACCAGATATAAGAATTGAGTTTATGCCACATACTCAGAATTTCTAATTCCTATATCTTTGCAACCTGACAGTGTAAACCTTAGATATTTTAAGCTTAAACTATTTTTATAACAGAATTCATAGTTTGAAATATCTAATGTCAACAACATTGTGTTGCAAGGATATAGGGGTTAGAAAATCAGAGCTTGAGGGAAGGACTCAATTCCTTTCGGAAAAATCAAACGAGATCAACAGGTTGTATCATTGATGTCACATAAATTAATCTTCAAGGTCTGTGTGGTTTTATTTGCAGTATAAAAATGTGATCTGATTTCAGAAAGTTTTGTGGATCTCGGGACCAAGCATTGATCTTCATCTTATGCAGACCTATATATATATATATACAGATTAATTTTAACCCTTGGTAGAAATACTCTGGAGGGTTATTTTTGATTAAGGGATAAAGCATTGATACTCAAATTAAAAAGTTTTCACATTTAAAAATTGAAAATGAGATAAATTGTTCACTGTTACAAATAGTTACTATAATCTCTGCTTTCTTTGTGTCATTAAAATTAAATATTTAGAAAATGTTTATATTAGTAATACAGAGTCCGAATTTAATGAATTTGAGCCATGTCTCAAATTCAAACCACGGCTCAAATTCTTTAAATTTGGACACAGGGTGTTTTTAATTCTATGGTGGCGCAACATATCTGCCCTGGCGCAGGTGGTGGCGTCACGGCGTGGCATGTCCATTGTATATATATAGATTTAAACAAATAAACTTTGAATGTATAATCGCTGACTTACTGCAGTTTAAAGTCTTTTCTGTCATGTTTGAGTCCATTTAAGATTTACTATAATTTATTTTCGGCTTTTGTTTTCATATCTTTCTTTCTCAAATAGCTGTTCAAATAATGTGTGAACTGTGTACCTAAAACAATTATGTTAAATAAGAATAACTGAGCCCCATTGAGTTTGCTTACTTAGGTGCACACTAGAGTAAATGACGTTCCTTTGTAAAAATTAATTAAATCCAAACATTCATATTAAATTGATTAAAGGGAGGGGGGATTAAATGAAGATCGTTGCATACCAAAAAACCAGCTTTTATAAAAGGAATGTACATTTTTTAACTTGATTATTGAAACTGACAGGTTGTCGTCTTGAGATTTATTTGGTTAGTTTTGTAGTCCTTTGGAAAAACAAGTTCAAACCTACCATATGTTTTAAATGGTATAGACCAGCAGAAAATTAAAAATAAAAAGGATTAAAATAATAAAGCTTGTTGAAATTTAGATTTAAAGATATTGTAAAATTTTATTTCCTGAAGGAGTATTGGCTATTTAGATTTATATGAGATTGGATAAGAAGTTTTTATTATTTAATGAGAGTGTCTAATCAATTCCATGGAGTTGGTTTGAGTCTAAAATAAAAACTGGCTGCAAAATTCTTACAGAACTTTTCTTTTTATTTGTAACAAAAAAATTTTTCAATAGGAATCAATCATTATAAATCTAGAATAGTATTTTTTATTTCCCTTTTCACAGACAAACAATTTTTATTAAATAATTGTTATTTAAAGTCCAGGGTGGGCACATCCAGTTGGAATTTCAATCTTGGAAGAGAAGGTTTTCTCCATGTTTCTAAGCTCAGGAAGAACTTCTCCTTGTCTGGCTCTCTCCTCATAATGTCTAGTGACTCTACGGTCAGCAGGAAGACAAGAGAATGCAATCTGCTTCTCTACAGTTGATCTTGGAGAACATCCACTTCCACATTCAACAATGGGAAGTTGAGAGAAACAAACCTTATCAGATTGCCTGATAATCAAATGCTTCATCTGGGAGCACTTCTCAAGGTTGGCTCTCAAGATGTTGGAAACAGGGCTCTTCTCAACCTGCTTGTTGATACTGTTGGCTGCTTGGGCTTTAATCTTCTGTTGTTGTTGAGTTAGTTCAGAGCACTGATCATTAACTCTGAATGATAGTGCTGCAGCCTTGGGGTTTGAAACCTGAAGTTGCTGAGCATTTGCAATATCTCCACGTCTATCTCCATCTCTATTTCCGCAAAGTCCACAGTGATTAGCATCCATGGTGGAGTCAGTGTGTAAAATTTCAATGTCCTTACCATCATAGGTAATTCTGCTGTATGGAGTTTCCAGAACAAGGACATCATCAGAAGACCTTAAAAACTGAAGTGAAATTCTAATCTATAGAATTTATAAATAAAAAAATATATATGTAAAAATAAATTACCTGTAAAACCTGTACTGAGATTTGTGATCCTGGGACTGAACTTCTTTCTTTTCGTTCTTGCTGATAGAAACTTGTCTTCCATCAACCTCAACATTGTACTCCCTTCTAGACTCAGAGAATGAACCTGCTGGTGCCATAGTAATCTTAGATTCATGGGTGAAGATCTTAACTGACAGCTTACCATTGACCTTCTTTGCCAGAACAGCATGGTTGGAATTTTTCTTGCATTCAGTAGCAAGGACATGATAACAATCATCAAGCTCATAGCTGTAGGTTTTGTTATCAAAAGACTTGATAACACCATCTCCAACTCTGCATGTAGGGTAGACAGGAGCCATCTGAAGAGCAGTAAGTACTTGTTCTCCCAGTTGCTGTGAAGCAAACATTGGCAGGATTCTGGGAAGTGCTGGAATCATATTAAGACGAATGTTTTGGTACTTGATAGTTTCCTTTCCAGAGGAAAGAAGGGCATCAAAAGTTTCCATCTTAGGGTTAAATTTCAACTGAAAATCAATTTCATTTTGGTTTGATTTCCTTTCAACACTGGACATAAAGGGAATAAGATAGCTCTTGACAAGAACATCAGCATATCTTGCATACCTTTGGACATATTCTGGCATATCAGTGTACCTAATATTGACCTTAACCTGATCCAAGGTGGAAAGCTTCTGAATTTGTTGCTTGCATGATTCACGCTTCTGTTGAACCCTCAGAACCAGCTGTTGTTCCAATCTTCTAGATTCCTGAGATTCCTCTCTGATATTTGTTAATTGTTCTCTAATTTCATTAACTTGTCTGCTAGCTTGTTCACACTTCTGGGCAGCAATGCTGTTTTGTGCTTTCTCCTTTTGATCATGAGATACAACAGCAGATCCAGTAACTGTAATCTTGTTCTCTTCACATGTTTGTCCAAACCCAATGTTATTCTTGAATGTGGCTCTGACATCTTCACTCTGAAGTTGGTTAACATTTCTGATAGAATTGGTAGGATAGGTTAGGCTTCCATCAATGCAAATATTAAGCCTGTTCTTGTTTTCAAGATTGAGATTCCATTTTGAGTCCATACCTTTTAGACCTTTTCCTGCACTTAAGACCCAGTGGAAGGTTTTAGGTGCATCACCCTTCAATGTCATCTTTACAGAGGTTGCAAGACCAACACCTTGTTCAACATTCAGAATTTGAAGAACTTGCTGAATCTTCTGATGTTCAGAGTTTGAAGCATCAATCTGTTGAGATTGGATCTGAATTGGGTTCTGGGACTGTTGATCAACATTAAGTCTGACAATTTGTGGCTGCTGTGCATTCTTCTGAATACCAAGGGAAGCAGATATTTCTATTTCAGCTTCTTTTGTGGTTGAGCTGGACAGGTCAAGAACCATCTTGACATTGTGATATCTGCAGCTAGGTTTTCCATCAAGTCTAAGAGCAGAGTGAGTCCAGCTAAATAGCATGACATTCAAAGGGTTGTTCTTATAAAGAGAAAGAGTATTGATAAGGTTGGCTCTATCTCTTAAATCAGTCTCAGTTGTGATTTCATATTTCATGTCAAGGCCAAGAGATTCTCCTGTTGGGAACTGTTCAGTTTTCCTTTCTGTACGAGATCTGATGATTTTTGTGTTAGAATGAGCAGCTATTGGAGTCAGATCAATGAAGACCAGAGGTTTGATTGTTGCAAATGGTTTGACAGTGTATGACCAAGTATCAATAGGTCCAGATCTCACATTATCAGCAGGACTGTATACAACTCTCAATTTACCAAGCTCCATTTTCATGGACATTTTGGTGGGGTAGTTTACAGTCCAATGTTTGTTTATTCCAACAGCAATGATCTCCTGGGTAAATGGGCAAATGGTTCCAACATATCCTGTCACACTCGTAGAAAGTTGTTTTCTTAGGTTAAGAGACACAGATGGCACAGATTCAGAACAGTCAACATTAATGTCTCCTCTCATTTGAACTCCAGTAGGCATATTGTATTCAATGAGAATTGGCATTCCCATATCAGAGGGAATAAGAATTTCAGTTGGGGCAAAGTTTTCAACCTTTACGAGATTGATTGGAGTTTTTCCGCAAACAGAATCTTTCCAAGAGGATGAGTCACTTAATCCTTGCTTGATTGCCTTCAACATAGGCTTAACAGAATCCATATTCATGCCGTATCTAAACTGAACATCATTAAGAACTTGTGCCCACATACCAACTCCAAAGGGAGCATCTTCTCTTTGCTGAATGTTAAGAGCAGCTGCAATATTTTTCCATTCAGGGTGAACATTTTCCTCATTTTGTTGTCCAGGTCTCAATTGTTCTTGGATGGTTTCCCATAGAGATCTGGTTCCTTGGAAGTTGACACTGAATTCAAGAGGAGAAAATTTGAGCTTTTGCATAACATATTCAAGTTTGGCATACACACCCTGCATTCCACTGACAGTGTTATAAAATCCATGAAATTGATATCCAATTTGCATCTCTTTTAGCCATTCAGCAGTGAAGAAGTTCACAGTTGAAGTAATTGCAACTGGAATAGGCTTAGCAAGGTGAAGAACAATTCTTGCTTTTTGAGAGTTTTTGTAAAGGGTTCCATAAATTGGCTGTTCAGCAATCTTAATTTCACTCAAGGATTTCAAAGTAGAGAAAACAAACTTTTGGAATTCATTGTCCTTCTCAAACCAAGTAGAGGTAGCAAGCTTCTGGAAGTAAACCATGGAAGGATCCATGCTCATCATCAATGACAAAGCAGCAATCCTGACGCTTCTATCTTCAGATGGATTATGAACCAATGCAGAGAATACAGGAAGGAGAGTGTCTCTGTGTTGCTTGGAGAGAGTGCTGAGGGAGTAGACAGCAATTCTTTGTTCAAGAGGAGTGCTTCCTTGGGATTTTCCTTCAACATAAGGCATGAGAATTGGAATGACAGATTCATGTCCAAGAGATCCAAGAGCAAGCATCAGTCCTTTGCGTTCTCCAGCCTTAGCAGAATGAAGTTGGTCAACAAAGTAGGGAATGTACTTAGAAGTGACTTCAGAAGTTTCAGTGGTGCAAAAATCTCCAAAAACATAAATGGGAAATCTTCTTTCTTTATTGGTATTAATGCAGGCTCTATTGACCAGGGTAGCAAAAGCAAGTTGAGCATTAGTTTTCAAAACTCTATTTTTGGTGATCACAGAGGACTGAATAAGTTCAAAAATTTGGTCAAGGATCTTAACAGTGGGAGTTCTGATATAGTGAGGAATAGTGGCAAGAGTGGCTCCAATACGAAGGGGAGAAAACTCTTCTTTTTCAATCAAGGACTTCATGAACATAATTGAAGGGTTAGTTCCAGCCATTGCTGCAACTTCAAGAACAAGTTGTCTCAAAAGTTCCTGGTCTTTTTCTTCCATTTTAACTCCCTTGATCTGTTCATACAGATCAGTCATCTGCTGGGTGGAGAGAAGAGAGAAAGCTTTTGTTGCACTAAGAGTCATTTCAGACAGAGGTCTCTTTTCAACACTATCACCTTCTCTTCCGTACTCAATGATTTTGGTGAGTGAATCAACAATTCTTTGCTTAAGGCTGTCAGAGGACAATTGAGAAACAATATCTTCTTGATCAAGAGGTAGGGATGGTTGGAATCTTTGTGTTGTTGGGTTTTGATTCTGGTTCTGAAGATTTTTCTGTTGTTCTTTAAAGTTTTTATTTTTGGTTGCCTGGATAATGTTGGTGTTTTTTGATCCCAGATTTTTTGGATATTCATAAAGTAGATCTTCCAGAGTTCTTGGAGACTGAATTTCAGGGAGAGAGGACATGGACGATCTGATGTCAACAACCCTAAGGACTTGCTTGGTTCCAGTAACAACATTTTCAGTGTTGAATCCCATCAGGTTTTGTTGGATTTCTCCCTCATTGACAATAACTTGGATATTCATTCTTTCTGGAGCAGAACCGCATCCAATGTAGCGAGTTAGAGAGCTTCTTCCCCACATTGTGTCACAGTTTCCACTTTGACAGAGGTACTTGCCAGGCTGATTGACCTGATAAACAGCACGCTCAACACACTTGTTTACATCTCTAGACTTAGTAATTTGAAAAATCTTTTGGCCTTCACAACGTCTAGATTCAGCAACTTTGGGAGCAAGATCAGCCAACATGTATTCTGGAACTTCAGAGATATGGTAAGAGTTTTCACACTTTCCATCAACACCCTGTTCCATAGTTTTCCAGACAGTTGGGAGTGATCCTCTTTGTCTTCTGACAGTGTTCTGTCTAAGATCATGTTCTCCAGCAGTAGTTTTGATCTTGAGGAGAGAAATCAAAGATTTCTTGAAGTTCAAGGTCCACTGAGGTTCATTTTCAGAGATTTTGATTTGAGAGATCTGACCGTTGACCATGGAGAACTGAATAGGAGATTCAAGAGCTGATTGAACCTTGGAAGGAACACTCTGAGTTTCTGGTGTCTCCAGAGTTCTCCAGTTCATTGGTTCAGGTCCAGATAGACGCTCATTGAACTTGTTGAATTCAACATTCTTCAACTAAATATAAAACAAATAAGAACCTGGAGAGGTTAATTGTATGATTCTTTTAAACTTACAGCAAGTTTGTAGTGTTGGTCATCTAGAGCTTGAACGATGATCTTGCTTTTGATTACAAGACCTGCAAATTGGGAGTCTAGAGCAGGAATACCAGAGAGAATTTTACCCTGGTTGATAGATTTATTCTTTAATATAAGATCTCAATAAATAACAAGTTTTATTGTAAGTAAACAAAAGGAATATTCTCAATTTATTTCTATTTTTGATAAATCCGTTCCTGGTATTGGAATTCATATTCTTTTCCAGAGGAGAAAAGAGGCTCTGAAGCCACTGCTCCTAAAAATAGAATTACAGTTAGAATATTATGTACAATGTAAAAACCAATTAAAATTCATTTTCATGAATATTGTATGTTTTTAACATTGTTTTTCGAATTACAATGTTCATTTTGAAAAGTAGACTATTATTGTCTAAAAGCTTGTTGCTGTGATTAACAGTGATAAACAGAAACTCAGGAATAGGAAGTCGACCTTTAAACTCAATTTATGAACGGTCCAAAGAACATGATAAACAGCAATTGTACAGTGTAAACAGGTTTTGAAACAACATCTAATGTACTTCATTATGGCTACAATGTCGTCTTCCTATTCAACAGAGTGTTCTAGATATCACTGTAGTTATTCAATACAATTCAAGATTGCAATCTAATTATCCAAGGTTTTATATTTGGTATTTAATTTTAAACGTCTGAGTTCAATAAGCCATAAAAACTCTTGCTTATTTGGGAGAAACAAATAATTTATTTTATATTCCAATGATGAGATTTAACATTTAATTTGACTGAAAGATCTATAGACATAATTTTTAATGTTTCTTGTATAATTCACTATTGTACCCGGCCCTTAACATCTTCATCTGAACAAAACACAGAAAATATTCTTGTTTTTTTTGGTAAATTTAATCAAGTTGTCTATGTAAAAGTAAAAATGGAATGATTGTTGAATGGGCATTCAACTCTTACACTGGGATCACTTGAAGAATGTTGATATCTTCCTTTTTATTGCTCAGAAAAAGATGAAAATGGAATTGTTGGATTTTAAGAAAACATTTTAAAAAAATTAAATAGAAAATAAAGCTTTTATGATAAAATATTAATGATATTTACCAATGAGACAGATGAGAAATGTGATTGTTCTCATATTGAGCCAACTATAGTTTACTACTGGGCTACTCATACCATATTGTAGAGAGCTTTTATACTCCGGCCAACATGCTGGTTCAGCTCATTTCACATGTGGCCTTTTATTAAACAAAGAAAATTATCACGAGGAACAAAGACTACTTTTTTTTAAACATAAAATTTTCTAAACTTGAAAAATGTGAAGAGTTCATTAAAATCATTTTCTTATTTTAGTCTAACCCCATTCTGACTGTAGAGGAGGGGGGGAGGGTAAAATAACACTTTTCCCATTCATCGTTTTTTTCAAGAACTCAACAAGTATTCGAGCTAGAAAGCATACATTTTTTAATTTTTCTTACTAACATATGCCCTTCATTTAAGGCAATACTGTCTGAGTCCTCAAGCATACTGCCTAAATGCCTTATTTACCTATAAAGGACAAAATGTATATTTGGACCTATTTTCAGGCATTAATTTGTTCATGCATAACTTATTAGTTCATTAGCTTCTATTGTTGCAGTGTAAGTAAAAATGCATTTTTAATTCTTTGAAGAATATTAACTGAAAGTTTTTGTACTTTTGTTATAGATGTATGAACATATGTACTTCAATTTCAGATTAAAGTGTTTCCTTTGTTAAAATTTTTAAAATGGGTTACCCATAAAAGATAACAACATGAAACTTTATGAAGGGATTTTAGGGCTATAGGCGTTATTTTAAGCTACGCTCTATTTGTAGTGTTGCATGTTCAATTTACAAAAGTACCTTTGAGTGATCATGGATGTTGGACTTAACAACGAAAACGGTTGTAACTGTTGAACAAATTGCTTTTGAGCTGTTTCAAATATAAGTAGTGCCCAGCGTGGCCCGTGAGAATTTAGAAACCCTTGAAAACAAATTTAGAATTTAAAAAAATCCATTTTTTTCAGCCTTTGTTACCCTCGGGGTAAAAGCGCTGATGGGGGGGGGGGGGTAAGGTTAGCACCGAAGGGAGGGTGGTCAGTTTGTAGCACAAAGAAGGGGGGAAATAGCTTCTTTTTTACGCCGTTTATTTATATATCTAGCCAGACTGAAAATCATCTGTTCATGGGAGATAAAAAACCACCGTTTGAAATATGTTTTTTTTTTCTACAGGTGTTGGTCAACCGATCGATCGGTTCAACTGACCTGTTTAGGCTACTGATCACCGATTATTGTTCGATTGGAACAGATCAGAATGAAAAGCGGAGCGATTTCATTCCTCAAGCGGAGTTTATCAAGTCAGAAATCGGAATTCGGATCAAAAGAAATTTTCCAGCGGGGAGGAATGTAAACAAATCCAGTGCCTCCACAGCTGTTGAAGGGAGAGGATTAAAGTCCAATAAAACTCTAGATAATATATCAAGTTAGTGAGGATGATATTTTGCCCCAGTTCCTTTAAATACTATAATTACAGGGGAAGACAGTTTTAAACCGTGTTTATGTTCACAAACCTGACACTGAGTGTCTGGTTCAGGCACAAATATTATTATCAACGTTTTGTAAGTTGTAACTCTTCCTGTGCCGACTGCCGAGTGCAAATATCAATTAAAGAAAAGTTTCCAACATGTTATTAAGCACAACGAGAACTAAAAATACCAATTCTAACTTTCTTTTAACTTTTCGTTTATTTTTAATAAAACACACCATTTTCAAAACAATTCAAGTTTTCCATCTTTGCACATCGAATTTGAATCTTGAATGCGTTTTGGAAAAACTTGTTTTGTTACCAAATCGTGTAAATGCTTGAAAGTATCATTGATTGATTGATTGATTGATTGATTGCTTGATTGATTGATTGATTGAAATGTCTCAAAATCGCGAAAAGATTGTTTTGATTTTAGATAGCTAGGTAGCTTTGACAAAGTCTGTAATAAAAAAGTTAGGATAATAAACATTTTCTGAATGATAAGGGTAATTATGCTTTTATAGTTATTGCCTATTCACATTCACAACAATTTTCTGACACACTGTACACTTTAAAGTCTTCACATGTTTAAAGAAGACGAATTAAGATTACAATCCTTATATTTATATTTCTGTTAAGAAATCAAACAATTTAAATAAATATAATTATTTTTAGTTATTCTCAAGCAAAATCTGGATAGCTGGAGCCAACCATTAATTCTCCGTTCTAAAAAAAATTAGATTTTTATCTTTGCAACCTGATGGTGGAAATCTTTGATATTTCAAACTTGGATTATTTGAGCTTCAGTATTTATAGTTTAGAATATCCAAGGTATAGGGACAAAAAAACAGAGTTTGGAAAATCAGACTTTGTGGCATCAGAGATCCAATTCCTTTGTGGCATGTGGTGCCTGTGTCCCATTAATCATGATAATATATGTATATTCGAGACCAGAAAGTGATATGAACGTAATTTTGAGAATTAGCTCAGTTGTAAGATATTAACACCAAATTATTGCTGTTTGTCTAAAAGACTATCAAATGTTAGTTCTGAATTCTACATCAAGGGATATAGCCTAAAAACAAAAGCACAATGTTAATAGACAAACATAAAAATAAAAATAAAAATAAAAATCTTTACAGTAGTCTTTGAAGTCATATCCTGTATCTTTTTATTTTAGTAAAGAACGATGAATTTTATTTACAAAATACTTACGTAGTATTGAGTCCAGGTTTGGATGAAGACGTCAGTTCCACCTAGTCTTACATGGCATTGCTCATTAGGATAGGTTAACAGACAGGTGGTATACAAAGCTAGCTCAAGCTCAGGGGAGGTTCCTAGATAGTTTTATTCATTAAAATAAAAATAAATTTTCAAAATATTTCTGTTTAAAGTAATGGATTTTCAAAAATAATAAATATCGACATTTTGTATCTTTACTCAGCCATAAAATATCCCTGGGGTCATGTTTTGACGTTTATTGGATACAAACAAACAGACACCCAGACAAGCAAAAGGATTTTTTGCAACAAACTCAGATTTTCTAACCACTATTTTTTTCAAACCCGATGTCGTAGACCTTTGATATTTAAAACTATGAATTCTGTCAGATCAAATGTCTAAGTCTAAAATATCAAAGGTTTACACCATCAAGTTGCAAAGATATAAAAATTTTTAAAGTTAGTTTGTGGAAAAAACTTACTTCCTTTGTGGAAAACTGGCTTTTAGGGCGGCCCCTTTCATATAAACACATTTATCTTTTAACTGTTACTCTGAAAGTAGCTAGTTTTCATCAATCTCAATTTGGAAGGATTTTTCCATGTAAATTTGCCATTTTCAAAATAATTCCCCTGGATTTGCGTGGTAGGTTCCTTGAAATTACAATCCTTTCATTTACCAATCATTGTAGATCCGTACGGTTTCTGTACATTGTCCCAGGTAAAGGTGAATTCTAAACCATGTCCTTCCTGAATAATAATAGAAACTTAGAGTCACCTGTTTTTTTTTTTAATTTCAGCTTTTTTACCATGAAATCCCCCTTTTTCTAATTACTAAAAAGGGAAATTTCAAAAGTTACTATTTTTACGTAAAAATTTTAAGACAACTACTTTGAAAATGATAGAAACTGCTCGATAAGAAATTTATTTTTATAAATGTAAATGCAAGAATATACTGTTTTGAAAGGTAACTTGTAGGTTTTATGTTATCCAAACATTCATGCATGAAATATTGGTTATTTTTGCCATTTGCAAATGTACAAAAAAGAAGATATTTTTTTAACTCAGAAGGAATTGAGTTTTAAATTTTTAAAATTTAAATTTTCTTATCTCTGTATCTTTGGAACCTTTGCTATTTCAAACTTCTAGATCATCTTATCTAACAGAATTCTTAATTTAAAATATCTAAGGTTCACAACATTGTGTTGCAAAGATATAGAAATTAGAAAACCGTAGATTCCTTTTCATTCAATAAATTACTTTTTTTGATTTTGAATTGTCACGTATAAATATAACTGAAATATAGACATACGCTTTAGGTTAGTTTTGGAATTTTCAAACAGCATCGGCTTTAAAGTGTCACAGCGCCTTAGCCTTTGGTTTCACCTCCTTAACTCATTTATACTGTCTTGTAGCCAATAGGCATATACTTACATTATTTCCAATATTAGCATGTTTCCAGTATCCTAGGTAGTTTATATGTCCTCCCTTCTCTTGGTTGTATAAGCTAAACAAAAATAATATCAACTAGCTGAAGTGCCTGGCTTTGCCCGTGTAATTTTAGAAATACTTCGAAAACAAATTTAGAATTTTGAAAAAAAAAATTCTGTTTTTTTTTTAGCCTATGTTACCCCCGGGGTACTAAAGAGTTCCCTATAAAATTCAGCCATTTGTGTCAAGCTGTTTGGCCAGCTAAAGCTGACACACAGGGTGTCCAAAAAAACATGGGAATTCAGTGACGAATTGGATATCGTCTTTGTTATTAATTAGCATTGTAATACCATATTTCAAAAGCAATAATATTATTACGTCTGCTAGAGTTTATTTTATGAAAAGGGTAAAAGGCTGTAAAGATGTGTCCATAATGTCTCCGCAAGATGAACAGTGAAGACGGACAAGTTTACTCATGTTTGTATACAGCAATTTTCTTTTTTTAGCAAGTACAACTGTATGCAGTCAAAACATAAACAAACAAAATGTGAACATAGCAGACGAAACTCTTACAGATTACAGCATTCTCAGTAGGTATCACTATACTAAATCAAAGAATTATTTAAAAAGACGATATCGAATTCGTCACTGAATTCCCATATTTATTGGGACACCTTGTATATACAAATATGCATATTGCAAATATATATGAGCGAAATTTGTTTTCTATAGATAACAAATTTAATCTTCTAATCCCTATATCTATAAATATTTATAATATATTTATTATTTCAAATATAAATGCAATTAGTTCAAATAGATTAAGATTAAGATTAAGATTAAGTATTATTTCCAAAACAAAAATCCTTAATTTTTTATTAAAAAATGGGACCTGCTTTATAAATCATTTTTTGATTTTTTTAGGGCGGTCGATTTTTTCAACATTATTTTTAACTTTTTGATCAAATTTTGCTGGTTCAAAAAATTTTCTTTTCTTGAAATGCGTGTACTGAGTGTATTGTTATAAAAAAGACAAGGGAAAATCTATTCCAGGCCTACCTGAACCAGTATTCCAGGCCTACCTGAACCAGTATTCCAGGCCTACCTGAACCAGTATTCCAGGCCTTCCTGAACCAGTATTCCAGGCTTACCTGAACCAGTTATGATATCCACTATATTTCAGTCTTACCTGAACCAGTTATGATATCCGCTAACCTCGCCATTTTTTACTTCGCCTAATATGAATAAGTGATTTAAATGATATACATTGATTAAAACTAAAAACTGCACTATAATATTTAACATTTTAAACAAATTTTATAGAAAATAGAAAATAGAAAACAGGGAAAACAAAATATTTTTTAGTGCATAATGAACATATATTTATACCTATAAATACATGTTCAAACCCGCTGGAGCTTAAAACTCCAGTTGCCCGCTCATATTGTCCAAACCAGAGTGTGTACAGTTTTTCACCAAAATTTTCGTAAGTTCCACTGAAAAGACCTAAAAAATAAGTTCTTAAATTTGCTCAAATTCAGAAAAGAATAATTAAAAATACAGATAGAACATTAAATAACTCTGAGGCAGAGTCCTTCTCTCTGTTTTGTAATTTAACGCTGGCTTTGATTTGATATGATGGTTATTAAATGTTTATTAAACCTTTCTCTGTCAGAAAAGCGTATGTGGTCTTCATAACTTCGGAATCGAGCACATACTGGAAAAAAAAATTTGAATAAAAATTTATAATTTTTGATAAATTAAAAATGTTAAACCTGTAAAAAGTCTAATTCCTCTTGATGTTCTTGCTCAGTGTGATCTTCAGCAACAGTAGTCTTCTTCTCATAGTTATCATATAGAGCAAACAGTTTCCTATACACAGAATATATCATATAGAGCAAACAGTTTCCTACACAGAATATATCATATTGGGTAAACAGTTTCCTATACACAGAATATATCATATAGAGCAAACAGTTTCCTATACACAGAATATATCATATAGAGCAAACAGTTTCCTATACACAGAATATATCATATAGGGTAAACAGTTTCCTATACACAGAATATATCATATAGAGCAAACAGTTTCCTATACACAGAATATATCATATAGAGCAAACAGTTTCCTATAAACAGAATATATCATATAGAGCAAACAGTTTCCTATACACAGAATATATCATATAGAGCAAACAGTTTCCTTTACACAGAATATATCATATAGGGTAAACAGTTTCCTATACACAGAATATATCATATAGAGCAAACAGTTTCCTATACACAGAATATATCATATAGAGTAAACAGTTTCCTATACACAGAATATATCATATAGAGCAAACAGTTTCCTATACACAGAATATATCATATAGAGCAAACAGTTTCTTATACACAGAATATATCATATTGGGTAAACAGTTTCCTATACACAGAATATATCAGAGCAAACAGTTTCCTATACACAGAATATATCATTTATATCATCAAAACTTTATTCAATGAATGATTGTCTTTAATTCTCAACGATTTGTCATACATTTTCTAAACAAAGGAGTTTTTTTTTCACAAACTCATTGTCTAATTCCTTTTTTTATAAACTTGATAGTGTAAACTTTTAATATTTGATCTAACAAAATTTATAGTTTGAACTATCAAAGGTATACCACATTGGGTTGCAAAGATAAAGGGATTAGAAAATTTGTGGGAAAACTCAACTCCTTAATAAAAAAGTAAAAATATTTGAACATTAGGCAAAATTCTGAACTATTATAATAAAAATTAAACAACTTGCAGAGTAAACATTTTTTAAATGAATCAATTATCTTTAAAATGTAAATTGTACATATATCTGGTTATACAATATGTAAATAAATATATGTTAAATATATATATACATAGTCACTGTCTATAAAATAGCTAACATATAGTATAATTCTTTTTTCTTTTTTTAATAAAAATGTGAAGTTAAAAACTGAAATATATATATATTTATATATACAAACGTAAGCCAAGCATTTGCATTTTTAAAGTTATACAAGTTTTTTATACTACAGTTTTTCACACACAATTTTTGCGGATTTTTGTTTTTTTCTCATGAAATGTTTATTAAGGATTTTTTATTTAATTTTGGAAAACAATTCAATAAACATGTTTCCAACAATTTTTCAAAAATCTAATTTTTTCAAACAAAATATGGTTTTGCGCGTTATTTTTTTGATTTTTTATATATATATATAAATGATAAATTATTATGGTATATTTGATCTGTTTTCTTACTGGTAAATTGGTAAATTCATCACACTCTCATCTACACTGGTAAACAGGGGAGCTGGAGATTTATCCTAAATAATTGATAACAATTTTATTTTAATCTTTAAAAATTTTAATTTCATTAAAAAAATATGATAAAATGATTCAGGAAGTTTCCGACTTTAAGTAATAAACCATTTATCATAATAATGTGCATGCATTGTTAAAAGAACTTGATGTTACAATTTTAATTCACTGTATTTTTATGTTTCAAACATCTTGTTTGTAATTTAGAAGAAAATAAATAATTTAGAAAAGTGCTCGGTATGTTTGTTCAATTATGAATTAATGATTATGATAGAAATAGAAAAATTCTTTTCAGTCTAATTATTAAAGTATACAATTTAGTCTAATTATTACAATATACAATTTAGTCTAATTATTACAATATACAATTTAGTCTAATTATTACAAAAAGAAAGAAGGAAAGAAGAAAAGAAGGAAGAAAAGAAGGAAGGAAAGAAGAAAAGAAGGAAGAAAAGAAGGAAGGAAAGAAGAAAGGAAAGAAGAAAAGAAGGAAGGAAAGAAGGAAGGATGGAAAGAAGGAAGAAAGAAGGGAAACCAATATCAATAGTGCGAGAGACATTATGTTATTTAAATGTTAGTCTGCAACGATAAATTTTTTTATCATTAGACGCTTATTTCATGTAAGATTTCCACCAGACACGGAATATTCAAATTCACAAAATCTCAGGGAAAAACAATTAGGCAGAGTCAGAGTCAGAATTTAATGAATTTGAGCCGCGTCTCAAATCCCCCGAAACCCGGTTTCTATTGAGCGCCGGCCTTAATCTTAAAACAATGAATACAATTTTAAGTTGAACCAACCATATTTGAGCCGTGTCTCATATTAAGCCGTGGCTCAAATTCTTTAACAGGGAAGATTTTAGTCTCCAAGAGAGGAATAAAGTGGATCAGACATACGAAATACAAATGGAGAGTAGTTTATAATTACGATGACAGTCCCTTTCCAGAAAATGGTATGACAAGATATCTCCAAAAAGATTGTATGTATGTTTACTAGAACCTGTGTATTTATAATTACGATGACAGTCCCTTTCTAGAAAATGGTATGACAAGATATCTCTAAAAAGATTGTATGTATGTTTACTAGAACCTGTGTATTTCCAACGCTAGTTGTTCCTCCGATGTCAACTTGTATACTAGCTCCCACATTGTTAGAGTCAAGTCTTAAAGAAAAACAAATTTCAAAGGATTTATTTCTTGCATTTTAAATATTTTTGAAAAACAAAATATAAAAAATAAAATATAAAGTTTTTGCAACAAGCTCTAATTTTCTCATCTTTATAATTGTGCCACCTGATGTCGTAAACCTTTGATATTTCAAACGATGAAAAAGTCTGAATTTTAAATATCTATATCAGGTTGCCAAGATATAGAGTTTACAAATTTTAAGTTTGTTGTAAGAACTCAGTACCTATCAGAGCAAAGTTACTGAATTTTCTGTCAATATTTGAGAATTTACAAATTTTCATTTTATCAAGATTAAATTAGATTGATAAGTCCGTTTTGAACATTTGCCACAAACTCCAATTTTCAAATCCAAATATCTGTGCAACCTGATGGCACAAACCTTTGATATATATTAAACTTAGATTATTTGATCTAACAGAATTCATAGTTTGAAATATCTAAGGTCTGCGACATGGGCAAGCTTTGGTACAGAGGGATTAAACATGTGATTGCTAAGGTACAGAGGGATTAGACATGTGGTTGCTTGGGTACAGAGGGATTAGACATGGGGTTGCTTTGGTACAGAGGGATTAGACATGTGGTTGCTTGGGTACAGAGGGATTAGACATATGGTTGTTTAGGTACAGAGGGATTATACATTGAGTTGCTTAGATACAAAGGGATTAGACATTTGGTTGTTTAGGTAGAGAGGGATTGGACATGGGGTTGTTTAGGTACAGAGGGATTAGACATGTGGTTGCTTAGGTACAGAGGGATTAGACATAGGGTTGCTTAGGTACAGATGGATTATACATGTGGTTGCCTAGGTACAGAGGGATCAGACATGGGGTTGCTTAGGTACAGAGGGATTAGACATGGGGTTGCTTAGTTACAGAGGGATTAGACATGGGATTGCTTAGGTAAAGAGGGATTATACATGGGGTTGCTTAGGTACAGAGGGATTAGATATGTGGTTGCTTAGGTACAGAGGGATTAGACATGGGGTTGCTTTGGTACAGAGGGATTAAGTACCTAATTCCTTTATTGTGAATTAAAGAATTATTTTTTTAGAAATTCTATATTTTAATTCTTAAATTTGAATATATAAAAATACCTAAATATTTCTTCAGAAAATGCAATTACGTCCTCCGCACTAACATCTTAAAAACAAAGAAACTGCGTAAACACAATTTACCAAATTTTAAGTAATTTCGTTCTTATGATATCAAGTTCAAGATATAGAATAGGTTAAAAAAAAGCAGAAATTTTGTTTAAAATTTAAAACAAAGAAAGCATTTTGAAAATACAGCTAAACCCTAAATTAGCCATACATCGAAAGAGTTTATCAAATGTCATCATGACAATTTTTCAATGGGTTTTATACTATTTTACGTAAATCTCAGTATTTGCGAAAATAAATAAAATAGTCATGAATATGCGGGAACTGTTTTAAAGAGCTCTATATAATCATTTAATTAAAAAACTAAATATCTGCAACATTCCATTATCAGAAAGTGAATACGACATTTTATGAATTCTTTCGATGTATGGCTTATTTAGGGTTTAACTGTACACATATTAATCATTATTAGAGCATATTATAATAAATAAATGCTCTCAATACTCTTAACAATAGCTGAAAATTTTTGAAAAAAAACATTTCTGAAATTGATCCGTTGAAGCTAATTCAGTTTAAGGAATTCATTTGAAATATTAGTTACTAGCTGTATTGCCTGCATCTCTAAATTTTAAAATCTAAAAAGAAGCTTTAAAAATTCTCCTAATGTGTGAAAGAGTTGGATGACATGATTAGGCGAGTAAAAATGTGTTGAAATAAACCGGTTACTTAAAAAAATAATCACTTATTTTCAACAAATAAATTGCATTAAAAAAAATAATCACTTATTTTCAACAAATTCGCTTATTTTCAACATACAAATTGCATTTAACAAAAAAATCTCTTATGTTAAAAAATATCGCTTATATATAACAAAAATATTGCTTATAATTAATGCAAAAAACGTGTATTCCCTCCATTCCTTCCTCCCCGTACTTGTAATTAACTAGATAGAGTGAGTAAAATTATTTATTGTTTTATATATTTTTTATATGAACTTTTTTCTTTTTTTTACTAAATAAATTTCCAAGTTAGTTAGACATTTAATCCCCTCCCCCTCCCCTCCTTCCTTAATTGCTTTTATTTTAGGTTCAGATAAGGCAATTTCACAATTCATAATTTAGCAATCGTATTAATTGCATAAAAGTACAAAACCAGCTCTGCAATTAGCAATCATATTAATAACATAAAAGTAAAAAACCAGCTCTGCAAATAGCAATCATATTAACTGCATAAAAGTATAAAACCAGCTCTGCAATTAGCAATCATATTATTTGTATAAAAGTACAAGACCAGCTCTGCAATTAGCAATCATATTAATTCATAAAAGTACAAAACCAGCTCTGCAATTAGCAATCATATTAATACATAAAAGTACAAAACCAGCTCTGCAATTAGCAATCATATTAATTCATAAAAGTACAAAACCAGCTCTGCAATTAGCAATCATATTTTTTGTATAAAAGTACAAAACCAGCTCTGCAATTAGCAATCATATTAATTCATAAAAGTACAAAACCAGCTCTGCAATTAGCAATCATATTATTTGTATAAAAGTACAAAACCAGCTCTGCAATTAGCAATCATATTAATTGTATAAAAGTACAAATCCAGCTCTGCAATTAGCAATCATATTAATTGCATAAAAGTACAAAACCAGCTCTGCAATTATCAATCATATTAATTGCATAAAAGTACAAATCCAGCTCTGCAATTAGCAATCATATTTATTGCATAAAAGTACAAAACTAGCTCTGAAAGTAGCAATCATATTAATTGTATAAAAGTACAAACCAGCTCTGCAATTAGCAATCATATTAATTGCATAAAAGTACAAAACCAGCTCTGCAATTAGCAATGATATTAATTGCATAAAAGTACAAAGCTAGCTCTGAAATTAGCAATCATATTTATTGCATAAAAGTACAAAACTAGCTCTGCAATTAGCAATCATATTAATTGCATAAAAGTACAAAACTAGCACTGCAACTAGCAATCATATTAATTGCATAAAAGTACAAAACCAGCTCTGCAATTAGCAATCATATTAATTGCATAAAAGTACAAAACCAGCTCTGCAATTAGCATAAAAGTACAAAACCAGCAGCTCTGCAATTAGCAATCATATTAATAACATAAAAGTACAAAACCAGCTCTGCAATTAGCAATCATATTAATTGTATACATGTAAAAAAATAGGATAATTTTAAGATCATTGTGTCTAATAAAGTGTGTTCCACTTTGCAAAAGATTTTCAGTAAAAAGAAAATAATTAGTTTTAGTTGTGGAATGATTCTAGTCTAATTTTTTTGTGGGTCCCCTTGCATTTAAAGGAATTGAGTCTTTGTCACAAACTCTGACTTTTATCTCTTTATTTTTGCAACCTAATGTTGTAGACCATGATGACTTCAAAATACACATTCTGTTAGATCAAATAATTTAAGTTTGAAATATCAAATTTTAACACCAGAGCTGAGGCATCGGAAAATTTGAGTTTGTGGCAAAAACTCAATTTCTTTTGAAAATGTAAAAGTATCCTGAATTCCAAGATCTTACCCACATCTGCCTGCACAAGAATCTGCAGGATCTGAACACACTGTCACATAATCATCACAGCAGTCGTTATGGGACTCACAAGCAGTGTTACATTGACAGGGTTTACTAGTATCCAACGAGTCTATAATAAACATCATATTAGATCGTGTATGGCATAAAATTTTAAAAAAAGAATGAATCATTAAAAAAATTGTATTAGGCTAATTTAAAAAATAGGTTTTTCGATTATTATGTGTGTATTTTGGCGTTAAAGTTTGAAGATAATCCAATATGATATATATCAATACTAAATTTACTGAAATGGTGATACAGTTACAGATGCTGCACGGGCAGCCGTGGTACATTTGATTTTCCGGGCCGGGTCAACCTTTTCGGTCTCAGTTTGTACCGTATCGCCCCGGACATTGGATAAATAAAGCAGACACTCATGACTAGCCGGTGCAACAAGGTTGACGCGGTCAGACTTTAGGTTGAATTTACTTTTACTAGAGGGTAAGGGGTACGTGGCTACCAATACAGAAATACTTCACAATATACCATTGAATTTATCAGCTACTGAAGCTGAATTATATCACCATATTTTAGTAACCGGCACTGTATTGATATATTTGCTGACTACTGTTTATATTTCAGGAAGTTTTATTGTGCACTTATTTCTTGGCAATTGTCAATAATAATATATCATTTTAACCAGTTACAAATTTTAACATTCACAGCATTTTTTAGTAAAAAACGGTAAAAATCGTTTCCCATTGTTTTCTGTATATTAGAAACTTTATAAAGAAAATAATTTTTCACCTCCACATCTTCCAACACAGGAATTATCGTCACCCAACTCAATTCTCCAAGAAAAAGCTTCTCCTACAAATATTTAAGAAAAATAACTAAACTTTATTTGTTTATTTATAGTCTTGATATAGTTTTGATATAGTCTTGATATAGTCTTGATATAGTTTTGATATAGTCTTGATATAGTCTTGATATAGTCTTGATATAGTCTTGATATAGTCTTGATATAGTTTTGATGCCTGTTTGTTAAATAAAAACTTTGGAGGAGGGGTATTTGGGTACAAGGGCTGCTTCAGGGGGGGGTGGCATTCATTTCTCCCCCCCCCCGAGTGAAATCTGGGGGGTGTGCCCCCTTGGATTTTTACAGAGTCATTTCTCATTTAAATTATGTATGAAAATAAATAATACAGTTTATTTGAAAGTGACAACATTGTAAACATAAATATATATATTAATGATTTTCACAATATTGAAAGGAATCATTTCAAGTAGTAAATACTAATGTATTTTTTAATTCTAAGAAACATTTAAAAAAGGCATTTTTCGCTAAAATCGAAATTGACAATCGCAATGACCTTTTGTGATACAAAAACGCTATTAAGAGTGTTTTTTAAAATATATCAAAAGATCCGTCTTTCCAAGCCATATCTAAATAAAAAACAAAACATTCATATATAAATATGTTACCCATAGCTGGCTTAACTGATGGACCGAATGAGGTGAATTTTTTTGTGGACACTAATGGGTAGCCGGGGAGTGTCTTAGGCTAAAAAAATGGAGATTTTTTTCCAAATTAAAAAAAAACATTTTTAAAATTTTTTTTTGTTTAAAAAAAAAATTTCCATGGGAAACGCCGTTCAGCTAGTTACATAATATTAACATAAAATATATCCGGGATAACCCAAGTTTAAAGCTATATGCTAAAAATATTATAATAGGAAAGTTCTCGAATTTTGTATTTGCCAGTAAACGAAAAGTGGCGGACTGAAGTCAAGATTTTGAACCTAAACTTTTTATCAAAATAGAGGTGGAGAGTGCCCTTAAATAGAGGCGGAAAGTTCCCTAAAATAGAGGTGGAGAGTGTTCTAAAATAGAGGAGGAGAGTGCTTAAAATAGAAGCGAAGAGTGCCCTAAAATAGATGCGGAGAGCGCCTAAAATAGAGGCGGAGAGTGCCCTAAAATAGAGGCGGAGAGCGCCTAAAATAGAGGTGGAGAGTGCCCAAAAATAGAGCCAGAGCGTGCCCTAAACTAGAGGCGGAGCATGCCCTAAAATATAGGCCTAAGATTGAACCGGAGAGTGCCCTAAAATAGAGGCGGAGGATGCCCGAAAATAGAGCGGAGAGTGTTCTAAAATAGAGGCGGAGAGTGTTCTAAAATAGAGGTGGAGAGTGCTCTAAAATAGAGGCGGAGGATGCCCGAAAATAGAGCGGAGAGTGTTCTAAAATAGAGGCGGAGAGTGTTCTAAAATAGAGGCGGAAAGTGACTAAAAATAGAGGTGGAGAGTGCCCTAAAATAGAGGCGAAGAGTGACCTAAAATAGAAGCGGAGAGTGCCCTAAAATAGAGGCGGAGCGGGCTCTAAAATAGAGGCGGAGCGTGCCCTAAATTTCTTCTGTTTCTAGAATAAACCGAACCATTGTTGCAAAATTGAATTTGCTTATTCTTATATATTTGCAGCCTAATGACGTTTACACCATCAGGTTACAAAAGTGTTGGAATATAAAAATGAAGCTTAAGGCAATATAAAGATAAAAAAGATAATAAATAACATTATCAACAATATCTATAAAAATAAAAAAAGAAATTATAAAATAATAATTGGAGAAAAGTTAAATTACAATTTAGGTTTCTTTGTGATATATTTTTCAGATTGGTTGCATATTTGCTGAATATGATCTGTTTAAACTTACCATTTCTATACAAAATTGAATATATATGGATTTTAGTATACATTTTATCAATTTCTTAAAAGGACTGTAAAGGAAAAATGAAAGGGGGTATAGGCTGAAAGCTAATCACTTTAGCTCTCGATCGCGACCCATGAAAGTCATATCTGATGTTCCTATCTCGATAAATTGATATACAACTTTGTCAAATTTATACGAAAATTAATATATATACAATTTTGTATAAAAGTAGTAGGTTTAAAAAGATCAAATTCAGCAAATAAGCAACCAATCTGAAAACGATGATATCCCAGAGAAAGCTAATTGTAAATTAGATTTTATCAATTTTACATATATGAATTTTCGTATGATTTTAACAAAGCTTTATATCAATTTCTCGAGACAGAAACATCAGATAAAACTTTCATGGGTCGCGATCAAGAGCTAAAGTGATTTTGTACAGTGTAGGAATAAGACAAATCTGAAAAAATGTGTATAGAAGGACCCGTTTTCGGAATAAATAATTTAGTTGAAAGAAATCACCGCGACATTTCAAAATTAACAGAGAACAAGAATCGACTGTTTATGTTTTCCATTGTACACAAAACACACTTTTTTCTTTAAAAATAAAAAAGTTTTCGTAAATACCTAACACAAGGAGAATTAGAAATGTAGTTCTCATCTTGATGGATTTCAGCTCAATGATCAGCAATTTTCTGTTTTCTTATCTTTCTGACAATTTCATAGCATTTTTTAAACAGATTTTAAAGAGCTTATTTGCAAAATTAAACTTTAAAATAACAATCTTTAAAATTTATCTTGAGGCTAGATCTTGAATAGCGAAAAAGATTGGCCAAACCACGATATTATCTTAAAAAAAAATCTTTAAAGGGACTGTAAGCATAACTTCAAGTGACCCTCCATGCAAAGAGAACAATGCCTGATGAACGAACAAAGGTGTCCTTATCAATGTTTATATTTTTGAAAACTCATTATTTTCAATTGTGGTTTTCGGTTTTTCTATTAAAGTGATTTACGCATTTCTACTCTGCAGGGAAAAAATATGAATAATCATAAAGAATCACTTTAACTCTAGAGATGTTCCACATTTTTGATAAGATAAAAAGTTCAAGGGTACTGTTGTGAATCTGACATTGCCATCTTTTCCTGGACAATTACATGAAATTACGCAACAGTCCCTTTAACAGACCACATTTGTCGATGTCCACACTTGACAATCCCATTAATGAAATACCAGATCCTCATTTCGTACATTTAAAGGGAGTGACCGGCAATGTATGGTAGTTGAACTGAGAATGTAGCATTGTGGAGAAATAGTTTAGGATTCATTGCAGGTCACTCCCTTTAAGAAAATTTCGTACACTCTTTACTCCGCTGTGTGAATGTGAGTTTGCTTGAATCAAATCTGACTTTCATGACAATACTTGATTATAATTAGGTTAATTTTTTCCATTAGTATGTATTGAAAATAACTAGAATGTATTTAATGTCCAACAAATTCGAGACTTGTTTAAAAAAACTTTTATCTTTGTTTTTAATTTTGTTTCCTTCTCTTGCGTATCTACTTGACTAAGAAATGGTAAATTGTCACTGCCAAGTGTTGTATAGTATATAATTGTATTCACAATACTGTTAACTGAAATCAATAATATAAACAGCTTTTACATTGTTGTCCTGAAACCTAAATAAAAAAGAATAATGAAATGTCATGTCATGTAAAAACTTTCATTACATTTAAAGCCATTAATTCAGGGCCAAGAAAATAAACCCTAATCTTTTGTTGATGTAATTTTGAAAAGTCATAAAGAAAGTTATAATAAACAACTGCACCTCATAAATAAGTAGACTTCGAATGCTTACTTCTTGAAGTGTAAAGTGTGAAGCCAGAACTTTTCGGGATCAAGGATTGATTAGGGCTGGGCCTTGTCCCTCGGGAACGATCGTTCTTTCACAAGAACGCATGGAATTATCAAGAACGATCCTATCGTTCCGAATAAAAGAACAAAATATAGAACGCGTTCTTAAAAATATTGGAACGAACATGAAACGAACGGAAATTGCTTGAAAAGAACGTTAAAATCAGGAACGAGTTCAAAGCTGGGAACTCATTTTAAACCAGGAACGTGTGTATTTGCTATTTCGCGCAAACATATCTAATTTCTGGGGGGGGGGGGAAATTATTTTTGAAATGGGGAAATATTTTTCAAGAAAGGAATACGTTTTTGCCACAAACTCATATTTTCTAATCCCTATTTCTTTAAAACCTGATGGCTTTTTCAGAGTTCATATAATTCATAGTTTGAAATATCAAAGATCTCAGACATCGGGTTGCACAGATATAAGAATTATAAGTTTCGAGCTTTTGGTATTGTTCTTGACTAAGAACACAAAGAACGGAACAGAGCGGGATTGAACAGTTCTCAACAAAGAACACCAAGGACGGAACAGTACGGAACGGAACGTGGATGGATCGATTGAAAAAAGAACGAAAAAGGAACAAACGAACTAGCCGTAGGCCATCGTTCTAGAATGGAACGAAAAGATTTCAAAAAGTCTGAACGTAGACCTAGCATTGATCTCCATTATGCAGACGTAATCTTATAATATCCCGTGGTGGTCATACCCGGCAGGGATAAATTTAAAGGTGCACGAATAGGATATCAATATCAGTCGATATATCGTTTTCAGCGTAATAGGGAAATCGTTTCACGAAATTTCGCGTTTATCTGCTACGCGAAAAAAACGGAAAATTTCGAAATTTTTTTTATTTATGCAAATAAGTGAGTTGCGCATATCTTTTGCAAGAAAATATCTGGGAATAACCAGAGTTAAACACTTTTAAACCTAAACAAATTACAATATCGTTCACATTATTGATCAGATAAAAATGTCAAGGGTATTGCCCGCTTATAGTCTCCAGTAATGTAATAATAGTTAAACCTTTATGACTCTAAAGATTTTTAAAATCCTCTTTTAATAAAATTTATTTTCTTATTATAAAATAATTTTCATCTACTCCATATTCTTATAAAACTGTTTTTGTGGTGTGTCAATATACAAAATTATCCGAATGACGGAGGTAAAATGTTAAATTGTTTGTTTTGTAAGATTAGACTAACATGCTCGTAACATGATAACACCAGCACAACAAATTAGCATTATTTTCCAAAATTTATTGTTTTTTATACATTTTGGTATTTACTGTTTAATGTGAATGTTTACGTCTTTACTGTGATAATCATTAAAAATTAACAATCAAAAATACTTTTATTTGAAAGTAGGACTGGGCGTCGTTTCTGCACGTAGATTCAGCCTGCTTACAAAAATTCTAAGCAATTTTTAAGACACGGTTGTTTTTGAAGTGTCGCAAGTTACCGCTCTAACTCGTTTATGCTTTTCTGTAGCCCTTTACATCTACCTTTAGCACTTCAAAGCACTAATTGTTGGCTTTGAGCTTGCAACCAGGAAATTGCAGTGCCTGTGGAACGATCATTCTTTTACGGAAACAGACGGTGCGGAACGGTCCAAGGAACAGACGGAACAGAACGGTCCAAGGAACAGACGGTACGGAACGGTCCAAGGAACAGACGGAACAGAATGGTCCAGAAAAAAACTATTTAAAAAAGTTAGAACATGTCAAGCCCTATTAGGAAGTGTCGAAAGCATTACTAATTACGAATATTCAGTTCAAAATTTTAAACAGAATTTTATATTTCTAACATTTGTTCGTAATGTCTCACAAATGTTCATAGTTTCAAAGTTCTTTCTGTAAATTCGAAACAAAATGGTAGGGGTTTTTTTATTGTCGAATGATTGTCTCCTTTTCCTTTTCTTCTCTGCTTTTTAGAAATTAGAAGTTTCGTAATTTGTAAATCTGTTAAAGGAATTGAGTTGTTGCCACAATTTCAAATTGTCTAATCCCTATATCTTTGCATCTTTGGGTTTCAAAGATGTAAGGATTAGAAAATCAGAGTTTGTGACAAAGACTCAATTTCTTTATTTTTGAAAAAGATGTTTTTTATTTATTGTTTTATTTAGTTAATTGCCGTAATTTTGATTTTTGAATTGTATTCGATGAACAAGGATGTGATGTTAAATTATCCAATTTGATTAAATATATATATTATATATTAGATTATCCAAATTGATTTAAATATTTCTAATTTTTACAATTTTCACAAAACCCTAGTTCTTTTTTCTCTTTTATTTATTTTTATCGTCTTTAGGTAAAACAAATTTATAAATCATAGATTTATTATAACTTATTTATTTACAACAAAAACAGTTGTTTTGAAAGGTTTGTTTTATCTTGATAAACTATCCATTAAAGTTTCCAGGGATGATACCAATGGCACAGATACATGTCTGAAATAAAGGTTTAGCAAAAAAACATACATACCAAAGCATACAAAGGTTTTTGAGATCCGTTGTGATTTGGACATGGCATGACATATTTTTTAGGGCTGGGGGGAAATATTCCCACAACCTCTACTTTTAGTGGTTTTTAAATCACTGAAACACTTTATTTTGTGTGTTTTTGTTATATTTCATAAAGAGATAATTTTTTACTTTTTTTTACTGATCTCTCAATGGAGAGTCCCTTTAATTTGCGATGCAAGTCCCTTTTAGTACCGGCAGTATAGGGAAAAATATAGGGACAAATNTAGGGACAAATATAGGGACAAACATAGGGACAAATATATGGACAAACATAGGGACAAATATATGGACAAATATAGGGACAAATATAGGGACAAATATAGGGATAAATATAGGGACAAATTTAAGAAATGAAGAAATTCTGGGGGTCAATGAAAAGCTGGGGTTCTGTGAAAAAAATCTGGTCTCAAATGCAATGACACAGGGGCTAAAGAGAACTCCAATATGAATCCTAAATGTTAAATTACCCTAGTTGAAAATCTGGGGGTCAATGAAAAGCTGGGGTTCTCAAATGCAATGACACAGGGGCTAAAGAGAACTCCAATATGAATCCTAAATGTTAAATTACCCTAGTTGAAAATGTTTGAAAGAATTGACAACAGATTGTAGATCTAGAAGCCGTGGATTCTCTAGAAATAATATTTTAGTTAATTTTTTATCTTTTAACTTATCGTATTTTTTGGTGCACTGTTCAATAAAAACATAATTTTTCAATTTTTTTAATTTCAATTCTTCAAAGTAAAAATATAATAATGTTGTATTTATTCTGTCTAAATAGTTTTGCTTGTAATTTATTTATTGAAATAAAATTGTTACCTTCCTCTAATTTCATCTTTATTTTCTGTTTTAAATAATGTTCACTGTCTTCGTCTTTACATATATCCTTGATTTCTCCATCCTTTGCTGTTAAATGGCCCTCTTTTCTTCTAAATATTCCATTCTCTTCTCTTCTCTCATCTTCTTCATCCTCTAGTTCATCTTCCTCTTCTTTTTCCTCCTCTATTTCCTCCTCCTTATTTTCTCCTTCTAGTTCATCATCTTCTTCTTTTTCTTCATCTTCTTCTATTTCATCATCATCTTCTATTTTATCATCTTCTTCTATTTCTTCATCTTCTTCTATTTTATTATCCATGTTGATTTCCTCATATTTTTCCTTGATATTCCCATCTTCTTTCTTGATATTCCCATCTTCTTTCTTGATATTCCCATCTTCTTCCTTTATATTCCCATCTTCTTCCTTGATATTCCCATCTTCTTCCTTTTTCTCATCATCTTCCTTTTTCTCATCATCTTCCTAGAAAGTATCATTTTCTTCCTTTTTACCATATTCCTTGATATTTACATATTATGCTATCCTATATTTTGTTTTAAGCATTTTTTATATTTTTTTTATAAATACCCAAATCAGGTTCGAAAAATATTTTTTTAGATTTCCATTTTTTATTGTATTTCTCTGAGATACCTGATCTTTATAAATAGTGACGAGTGGAATGTTGCCCTCTGAAGCAAGACAAGCTGAACAAATGTTGTTTGTTAAAGGGAGAGACTGGCTTGGTAACATATTTGAACCAAGAGTGCAGTATACTAAGCAAAAACTTTAAAATTCATTTGTCATTTAAACGTTTTTCTGCAGAGTCTTTTTTATACTGATTTAGTAACCCATATGTAGAATGTAACAAAAGTTCTAGTATTAAAATTTTGTTGTTTAGGAACAGGTTGAAAAATAAAATTAACGCTTTTTATAAAAAATAAGTAATCTTATTCAGTTATTGGTTTCTGTATTGTTTGACTGTTAACAAGCTTTTCCTTGGATTTTCTGGAATTCTAATTGAAACGACAACATTTGATCGATTTTGAAGAAATCTGCAAACAAATTTAGTATAATGATAATAAAGAAATGACTGTTTCTACCATTGATCTCTTCACAAACTTCTGCTAAGAAATATGTTCCTAAGCAACAAATTAGTTTTCTGTTTGCAAAAAACTTTGTCCTGTGTAGCATCCTTTCTGATAAAATTTTGTAAACAAATTTAAGCTCTTACTTAGAAATAATTCACTTAAAAAATATCTCATTGTTATCAAATGGATCTAAATTTTTTTCTATTCGACTGCACCTTTAAGATTTATAGATTACATAGCTTCACATAAAAGACCACAAAGTCATGCTGCCACTACACTCTAAATTTCGAAACAAACAATTGCTTATATTCGACAAAAAATCACAGATTTGGCAAGAAAAGTTGGATGTTTTTAATATTAGCGATTTTTTATTTCAAAATTTAGAGTTTAGGGCATGTAAAGCCTAAGGGATATTGAATATTGATCCCTTTGCCTGGAGGGGTATATATTAAACCTTTTAAAAGGATTCAAGTGAACAAGACAAGCTACTTCCATGTATTTGGCATGGCAACTTATTCTGGGACATAAACCCTCCCAGATGGTTTGAGTTTAATATTAAGCTTTCAATTAGTAATGCTGCTATAAAAATAAAACACCATTGTATGTGCCTTAGATTTATTTATGTACTGTAGACATACAGTAAACAGAAAACAGATTCTAATTTTTTCCGGCTATTACTGTTTCACAATTTATATTAAACTGAGGAAAGTTGTAAAACACGAGAGATATTAACGAGTGAAAGCCAAATCCCGGAAGATAAGTCATGAAACCTCTCTATGAATACGACATCTATTAATTCGTAGAACACAACTTTTTATCCTGCTTACCTATATAGAATAATCTAATATAGTCATCAGAATTACATCTTAGTATCCTAGAATTCAAGTCTATAACTAAAATAATTTTAAGTTAAAAAAGAGAAATCCATGTTTTTTTTGTTTAATTTTGACCTGCATTTTTCTCTAATCCAGCAGCTTCGCAATCAAGTTTAAACACAACTAAATCTAAAAATTTAAAATAAGATTTCTCAATCACATCAAATATGAAATTTAATAATGATAAAGTAATTGCCAACGTAATTTTGATTTGAAAGATAAATGTGATTTGTCAGGCATTTTTTTGTTCTCTCAAAAAACCACGGCATAATTATTGAGCAGATACAAAATGAAAAACTTCATCAGATAATGGTTGAACGACAATAGTGTTCTTAATAATTAATGACAATTTCTTTGAATAAATAGCAATTTAATATAAAACCATTTTTATAATGAATGTAAAAGTAAATAATTCGCCTGGATTCTGGTAGTTCAGATATTGTAGTGATACTCTATTAGAATCTGAAAAACATAAAGTCTGAATAAAATATTTCTTTGTTTAGAATTTGTTGGAAAATTATTCCATTCTTTAGCTTTATTTTGTTTAACAGTTAAAACTTTAAACCTTTTTAACCTGAACTTTAATATTCAGAAAACCTCAATTTTAATATTCAGAGAACCTTACTTTTAATATTTAGAAAATCCAAGCTCAATATTCAGAAAAACTTTATTCTGATGTTCAGAAAACCTCAATTTTAATGAAAATCTCAACTTTAATATTCAGAAAACCTCAATTTTAATGAAAATCTCAACTTTAATATTCAGAAAACCTCAATTTTCATGAAAATCTCAACTTTAATATTCAGAAAACCTTAATTTTAATATTTAGAAAATCTTAATTATAATATTCAGAAAACCTCAATTTGATTTGATTGCAGGATTTTGTTCATTTAAAAAATGATTCTCAAGAAAGAACCGAATACAAAATTTACTGAAAAACATTTTTAAAATTTGTATTATCTATAAACGTCGTATAAAGACTGTCCACTGTTCAGTAAACAGGGAAAAAACAAGAAATAAGTCTAGTAAAGACTTTAAAATTCTCCCTGATTACAGATATATTGCTATGTGCTTTGGGATACCTACATAGATTTGGAATAATTGAGTTTTAACTATACTTAACTATAATTGAGCAAACCATCCATCGGGGGTTTAGTCATTTAATAGTTTAATAGTTTTAAAAAATACCAATGCAATAATTATGAAATAGGCTGGTTTCATAATTGACCAATGATCATTTCACATAGACTCTATGCCTTTCACTTTACAAACGATGATTTTCCGTTATAACTATAACTTAAATGATGGTTTTTATTCACCTAATTCATGATAAAGTTTATTTAACAGCTTTAAAAATTTCGAAATTGAAATGAATAGTCTAGGGAACATACTGTATTAATGTACTCAACTGCACATAATTTGTGAACATTTACATGATTTGTACACTTTGAACTCCTTTTCAGGCTGAAAGGGACTGAAAAAATTCTTACCGAGAGATTCTTTAAATTCCTCTCTAATATATATTCTATTCTCTATGGCTGAGCTTATCGGGGGGGGGGGGGGCAATCATTGTTATCTAATGTTTTCATTTAATAAACTTAAATAGTGTTCTCAGATATTCAAAAATAAATAATTCCCGTGCAATACTTTGAAGTCAGCCTGGTCTCAAAAGTTAATAGAGCGAGGGGAGAGTGGGGGCAACGAACAATATTGGGAGTCAGAGACCCGTAAGATCGTCTCATTTCAGACCCCCATAATTTCATTGTAGACCCCAGGATTTTCATTGGAAAGCCCAAACTTTTCGTTTTAAACCCTAAATTTTCATTTGAGACCAACCCTAGATTTTCAATAGAGACCCCAGCTTTTCATTGGAGCTTCAAGATTTTCGTTGAAGACCCTAGACTTTTCTTCGGAGACTCCAAACTTTTCACCAAAGCCCAAAATTGTTAGTGAATAAACCACAAGATGTTCATTGGAGACCCCAAAATTTTCGTTTTAACCTAAAATTTTCAGATTTACACTGGAGCCCCCCAGATCTCCAATGAAAATTGGGGGTTTAAAATGAAAAGTTTGAGGTTTTCACTGAATATCTAAAGGTTTCCTATGAAAATTGAGGTTCAAAAACTAAAAGTTTTGGGTCTTCAATGAAAAGATTGGAGTCTGCGACAAAAAGTTTGGGGTCTCCAGTAAAATTCTGGGGTCTCAGATAAAAATATTGTGGTCTTTAACGAAAATCTTAAGATCTCCAATGAACATCCGGGAGTCTAAGATGAAAATATTGGGGTTTCCGATGAAAGGACTGGGATCTTCGATGAAAGGATTGGGGTCTCCGATAAAACCTTGGGGTCTTTTATGAGACATTCATGGGGATCCCCCTAAAAAGGGGTTCTCTGAAAGTACTACAATGATAATGAGTTCTTCCTAGACTCCCACATTGGCATTTTCAAGAATAATGCAAAACGAAAATTTACAGGCCATAAACACGTAGTTCCTGTGGAGAAAATCTATTTGGATTTTGGAATTGCAGCTTAAACTTAATTAATGTTGAAAGCAATTTTTCTAAAAAAAAACTTTCTAATATTCATGCATATATATACATCTAAAAATGTATATTATGCAAACGAAATTTGTTTGAAAAATGTCAAATTAGAATTACTATAAATTCAAAAGTGGTCTTAACTGTTCAGTGTACATATTTGGGCCAGTTGATATAATGGTCCATTAATTGACAAAAAGCTGATTCTATGGGTAACAAGAAATATTTTATTTTTTTTCGCCAAAATTGTAATTTCACCGTTATTTAATTTTTATTTTTTAATTTAAATTTTTGTTCTGTTCTGAGTGCAAAATCCCGGTGGATGGTTGGCTCAGTTCCAATATTGATGATGTAGATACCTGGAAACCAGAATAGAATAGAATGGTTTTCAGTCTCAAGAATCATATCTGCAGCTCCCGGTGGAAACTTAAACAGTAATTACTTAAATAATCTGACCAACAATGCAGGGTCAAACTTTTGTATAAAGATAGGACAAAAAAGGGACTGTTATAGAAAAATAAAAGAGGTATAGGCTAAAACCTAGACACTTTAGGAGTTGATCGTGACTTATCTGAGTTCTATCTAATGTCCCTGACTCGAGAAATTAATATAAAAACGTATCAACGTGTCCAGGTTTCAACCTACCCCATTTCATTTTTCCTTACCAGTCCCTTTAAGTTCAAAATAAAGTTTTAATTACTAGGACATACTTGTTTCCAGATTTCCAGAATGTTAATACCTTTAATTTCGTTAAGGTTTTTATCTCTAATTTTTCCTTTCCATCGAACCCTGTAAAAAAATATTTAAAGACTTAAATATGTTTTAACTTTGAAACAAAAACGATTATTTTGAATTATCTCAAAATAGCTGTAGAACATTATTAAAGTAAAATGTTTAAAGTCAATAAGCGAATTACGCATATTATTATAATTTTTATAGAAAAGTTTTTTTTAGAGAGTATACTTATCGCACATTTTTTTCTCTAAATTTCGACTCTAAAAAAAAAATGATTTATGTATTTTTCCTTGGTCTGAGTTAAATGATTAATATTCATGAACACATCAGTTGTACGTTTGAGAAAATAAACAAACAGACAAAGATAAATTGCATACAAAGCTTTAAAGTACAATGGGGCCGATAAAACTGTGGAATATGAAGACGACTCGAATTGTAAGAATCAAGGTATTACTTAAAATAGTGAAATGATAATGTAAGACAGCAAGTTTGCAGTTTAAAAGGCACATTTTACTCAGTAAAATGACTTTCTAACTGTTGTTAAAACTATTTGCCTTAAAACAACATCAAACACACATAGATTGCTTAAATGTCGTCTTTCTACAATACTTACACTCGCAGTTTTTTTCTATGATGTAGAAAACGGACTTATAATTGAGGTTTGTTCTACTCATATATTGATTATATTGGGAATAATAAACATGCAAGCTCCGAGTCTGAAACTGAACCTTATCCAGAGCCTGAAGCCCAACCTAACCCTAACCCCGGTGATTCTGAGGAGTCTGACACTGAATCCGAGTCCAGTCCTATTTCTGAATCTGACTCTCTACCCCCGTCATATTTGGATATTGCGAAGACAAGAAGTGCCGGTTATGTCCAGTTAAATCAACTGAAAAAGTGGAAAACTAGTATGCATGTTTTACAAATAGTTCATTCAAGTGCTGTTGTCAACTTGTCAGGCTCTACACTGGCATTCTAAAACGAAAATCTGCCTAACGTATAATGATATACAAAATCTATAAATATAGAAAATGTACTGAATCCTTTTAATCGATAAAAATAGTAAAATATTTAAAGACCAAACATAAAATGTATATGTAATCGTACAAATCTTAATCAATAATGTATGCATTCAACTTTATACTGAATAAAAATACTTTGATTAAAAAAAGATTATATTTCAAGACAGATGGATATATTTCTAAACAAAGGATAAAGCTACATGCAAGGGAATTCTCAATTTACATGGTTTTCATAAATTTGAATACAAATATATGTCCTAGTATGTTATCACGACTTCTGTCAAGTAAATATTTATATTTTTTATCTCTCAAGTCCCATCCATTGTTAGAGATGGGCATTGATTTTCTATGGTCAGGAGAAATAAAAAAGTATGAAATTTTTTTTTAAAATAATTTAAATCGTTTGTACGATCTTCATCGTTAATGAATAATTTCTTAATGAGCTATTTTTTCCAACTTTTTAATAAACGATTGTTTTTGCTACTGAACAAACAATTTGTGTAATTAATGTTTTGAGAAAAAGAATTAATGTTTTGAGAAAAAGAATTAATGTTTTGAGAAAAAGAATTCATGTTTTGAGAAAAAAAAAAAGAAAAAAAAATACTGAAATAACCATTTTCTTGCACAATTTTACTGAACAATCGTTTAGTGAGAAAAATGAACTAAAAAGATGAAAAATAAAAACGAACAAAATCTTATTTTTGAACGATTTAAAAAAACGAACGAAATGGGTTGTTCACCAATGATAAATGAATTAAATGAAAAAAGCAAAATTCGATCATCTCCATGCCATTGTTATAGGTAGCTTGTACATTGTAAAGTGTTCCATAACATGCACATTGAAAAAGGCTTAAAAATCCGTGTCTAGGTCAGTAAAAACGTAGTCTTGTTTTCTCAGGAACTGTTAACATGGCACCATAATGTCGTCTTACAAATCATTAAGAACTTTAGCTTCAGTTTTTCTTGAACAAAATTATCTGTTTTAATCTTCATTTTTCTCCGAACTAAACCAATTTTTTTCAATCCAAGTTTCCTCATGGTAAAAGCTTTACAATTAGTGCCAACTGCTTGAATATGAACTTTGACAAAATACGCCCAGTTGTTTTCCAAATGAAAAGATAAGAAAAAAATTCTGTTGAAATAATAAATTAAAAATGTTTTAAAAATTCTACATGTTTAAACTAGAAACTTAATTCAATATTTGTGGATTGAAATTCATGGTAAACAGCATTTAAAGGGACCGTTCACTTATTTGGGTAAATTAAACAGCATATTCGTTGTTGATTGGTAATAGTCTTACTCTTCAAAGACAACTGTGGCCGGAGGAAAAGCCGATTTTTCGTTCAGAATTTGAGCGGAAAGGGACGGTTCTATAGACACTATTTGATGTTTTTTCAGTATGTTGTGGATCAAAATAAATTTTTAATATGAAATTAAACTGTAGTATCTAATCCTTAATTATAAATGTAATTTTTTATTTTTTGTTTTTTAACTTTCTACTTCTAAAATAACACTATTTTATCACATTTAAAATTGTGTTATTGACATAGAGAATAGAATATTTAGAGAGGAATTTACTGGAAAAAAGTGTAAAACGGCCATTTTGTTGTACTGTTTCCATACTGCAGGTATACTTCACATATTTATGCTATATAACCTGTTAGGCCCTGGAATATCATTTTATAGAAAATCTAAAATTATTGTTAATAGTTTTAAAAAATACCAATGCAATAATTATGAAATAGGCTGGTTTCAAAATTNCTTGTAAATATGAATGTAACATTAAAGCATGCGTATTCTATGTTGTTAAACAGCAAATAGCTTACCATAAGCTTGTAAATATGAATGTAACATTAAAGCATGCGTATTCTATGTTGTTAAACAGCAAATAGCTTACCATAAGCTTGTACATATGAATGTAACATTAAAGCATGCATATTCTATGTTGTTAAACAGCAAAGAGCTTACCATGAGCTTGTAAATTAACTGATTAACGATTAGAAAAAATACTTCTTTTTCAGTTCGTTGCTAAAGTTAAACTTTGTTAACTAACTTCATGGCTAACGGTTGGAAAGTTTGTTAATGAAAGTTGTTATTCTATATAAACGGTTTTGGAGTTTGAAAATGTAGAAGTGGAAACCAAAAAAACTTTTTGAAGATGCGCTATAGTTTTTTTTTTATTTTATGATCATTAGTTTTTATGAATGGTTCCTTCTGTTCAATAAAAAAAAATTAATGGGATTTCCTTTCGTTAATGAAATTTTCCGCTAATAGATCGTCCGTTTGTTTTCGGAATTTTCAATTAATGAAATTTTCCGTTGACAGAATATCCGTCCGTTTATAGATCCTTGCATATGGCTTCCTTAGAACCTTAACTGAGCTGCGCTAGCATTTATTGATTAGAGAAAGTGCTGATAATTGTCTTGCAGTGATTATATATTCAATATTAATTTTGAAAATTGCATTGACACTTAAACCTCAGTTTTTTCAAAATCATGTCTCAAAAAAGTAAATATTACTTAATTTTAAATAATAATCAAAATATGGATTTCAAGTTTTGGTTAATTTTAGACTTTACGGAGGAGGATAATTGTATCTTAATGATATACTGGTATAAAATAAAATGGTTTCGAACGTTAGCTCAGTTTATGAAAGTATTCTGGACAACGAGATCCAAGCGATAAAATCCACCATATTTCCAAGGTACTACAGGGTGTCCCACTGAACATTGAGGGGCGAATTTAAAACGGCTTAGGTCTACTTACTGCTCGGCCTTTTTTCGTGAACAACGATAACTTTATATTAAAAAAACAATTTCGATTAGCCGTAAACCATTCCTGGGGTCATGTGAGTTGACACACAAAATTTGGCCGATTGGTTCAGCCGTTTATACTTTTTTTGATTTAAACTAGAAAAACAAACAACCAGATAAGCCAAACGTATACATACATGGTGTGCAGCTAAATTTTAACATTTATAAAAAGCAAAAATATCCGAATATCAAATGCCTTAATATGGAGTAAAAACGCAGTACTTTTCAATTTGGTCTACAAGCTAGAAATGTAAACAAATCAGATAAAATCATATAAACTGATCGTACTGCATTGTTCATCTCAAATGTCGACAACAAAGAGTAAACATAGATGAGACGATAAGAGATAAGAGAAGAGAAGAAAAGAGATAAGAAAACGGAAGAATAGAGAATAGAAGAAAAGAAAAGATAAGAAAATAGAAAAGAAAAAAAGAAGAAAAGGGAAGAGAAGAAAAAAGAACAGAAAAAAGGAAAATAAATAATAGCGAAGACTAGAAAATAGAAGAAAATAGATGAGAAGAGTAGAAAATAGAAGAGAAGAGAGAGAAGAAAAGATAGATTGCGTAAAAGAGAGAGCTTGCAGTTTACAGACGTTTTATCATAAAAATAAGTTTAACCTTTATTGTAAAATTGTATGATATTTTTGAAAAAAAAATAGTTGTCCTAACTGTTTAGCGTACATTTTTTGATCATTCAAAATTTTTGATCATTTGGCATTTGTTAATCTAATATTTTGCTTTTAAAATATTATGTTTGTCCAGATTTGAATTTCCTAAAGGGACTGTATGCGTAATATCAAGTGACCCTCCATGCAAACATTGATCTGATCAAAAATGATCAATAACGTCGTTTTAATATCATTATTTCTCCAGTCTTTAATTTTTATAAGCAAGTAATGCGCAAGTCACTTTTGCAGTGAAACCACAAAGGAAAATAACCGTTTTCAACAACAATAATATGAAGTTCTAATTCAAGCTTAAACAGATTTTAGGGTACGTTGTAAATTGGGCATTGACATCATTGTATGGAGGGTCACTTGAAATTACGCCTAAATCCATAGAGAATAGAATATATATTAGAGTGGAATTTACTAGAAAAAAGTGTAAAACGGCCATTTTGTTGTATTGTACTGCAGGTGTACTTCACATATTTGTGCTATGCAACCTTTTGGGCCCTGGAACATCTTTTTGTAGAAAATCTAAAATTAAATAGACTCTATGCCTTTCACTTTATACAAATGATGATTTTCGGTTATAACTATAAATCAAATGATGTTTTTTATTCACCTAATTCATTTTATAAAGTTTATTTAACAGCTTTAAAAAATTCGAAATTGAAATGGATAGTTAGGGAACATACTGTATTAATGTAATCTACTGCATATAATTTGTGAGCATTTACATGATTTGTACACTTTGAACTCCCTTTTAGGCTGAACGGGACTGACAAAATTCATACCGAGGGATGGTTTAAATTCCACTCTAATTCATATTCTATTCTCTTTGCTAAATTCCCTTTAAGTGAAATCAGAATCGCCTAAATTCTGAACATTTAATTCCGACAATTTAAAGATACAGAAAATAGACTACACAATTTGAAAGCCTGTGAAACCTACGACCTGTTCTGATGAACTTCAAATCTTTCAGAATATTTATATCTGCCGAAAATTAAGTTACCTTCATTTTAGGACACCCTGTATTTAGTAAAAAATTTGAAACCGTTATCAAAAAAGGTTTTTACTGTTTTACTTTTTATCTGGATAAAATATAAAAAAACTTGCTTATAACATCTCTTTGTTCTTTGCTGCATTAAAGTATTTACTTAATTATGGGGGGGGGGAGCCCCCATTGTCCTTCTCGATAAAAAGTTTATATTTATTTTATAATTACTATAATATGTTATTTTTTGTTTCTGCAGGAGAAGCGTGCTGTAATGTTAAAAGAAGTTTTAATAATAATAATAGGATTCAAGATAGGTATTATTTTTAAGAATAACAACATGATTTAAAATTCGGTGATGGTGATGGACCAAACCTCTGTAGAGTTAAAAAAGTAGATGTTAGTTCCACATTTTATTGAAAATATATTTCGGTCTGGGTTGACCCTTGTCAGTTCTTGAGATTGTTTCTGTCACAAAAATTAAAAACTCTTTTTTTTGTCAGTTCCACATTTATTGAATAACAACATGTAAATATTTTAGACAGATTATTGAAAATACTCTTAAACTCTATCAAAATAGGGCCAAGCCTTTTAAAATCATGTTAAGTAATTTCTTTAAATTTAATTATAAAGAATTTTTCTATTGCTTAACTTAAAATGTTTAGTGCATAGATTAATAACAATACAGATGAATACTAGATGACGTCTTCTCAAGATTAGGGTTTTTTTGTTTACAATAACCCTAAGGCTGCTGACCAAAGGAGTTAGAACAGTTTCTCTCTCTGTTTTATAATTCAACGCGGCATGCGCACAACTCCTTTGGGCTTCTGTCTCAGGGTTATTGTAAATGAAAAAATTCCTAAATCTTGAAAAGACGACATCTAATGTTCTCTATGTATTTTTATCAAACTATGGTTTAGTGAATCAAGCAAATGCCGAGATCCCACTTGGAGCATTGGTCAACCAATCAATCAACTCATCACCAAGATTGAGAACTCTTGCACCGATTCAACTACCTCCGATGAATCCACAATTCCGTCCTCCCATTGGTATTACGGCTTTCGGCAACTTCTTTACACAGGTACAGATATGCATCTTTACACAGGTACAGCTACAGATAGGCATCTTTACACAGGTACAGCTACAGATATGCATCTTTACACAAGTAGAGCTACAGAAAGGCATCTTTACACAGGTACAGCTACAGATATGCATCCTTACACAGGTAGAGGTATAAACTGTGGAATATAAAGATGACATTTAAAAGTGCATTTGATGATAGTATAAATTAAATCGTATGTACTATGGAAGCTTAAAAATTAACTTTTAAATTAAAATGAGCCTGTACTACGTACATTGGATAATTGCTATGTTCCATGTTCATCGGGCTATTTAGATTTGATTGAGCCTGATACTGCCTTTTTTATGTTCCACAGTTTTACGGATCTTACTGTATTCATTCATTTTGACACATTTCAAATTTTTGTTTCATCTTTTTTAGAAAAAGTTTGTGCTGTACCCTCGGAAGGTAGAGAAACAGAGACAGATAAACCCGACAAGAAGGTTCAAATATTTTTTTTACTTTTCAATTTTTATCAGCTGAAATATAA